CTGGTGTAGCATGAGAATTCCGTGGGTAAGACAGGGGTCCTTTCTGGACAGAGCAGGACCATCCAACTTGTGGAGGGCTCCTTTAGGCATCAGAGGATGGCCGAGCCAGTGTAATGTGCATGAATATAACATGAGGGGAGCCCTTTCCTGAGACTGTATTGTGGATGGAAGCCCTGGAGATGGGCTGACCTGGGCCAAGTGGAATGGTGAGAGCAGACCAGGAGCCCCTCTGTCCAGAGGCATCTTGGAAATGAAGGGCAGGTTCTGCGTGGGAGAGTGATGATAATGGAAAACTGTTTGCCTTAACAAATAAGATGGTCCCACTAACTAAAAAAAGTTTGGGAAGAGTTTTCTCTGTGAGTTGAGAGGTGGTGCTAACAATGGCAGCCTGAAATAAATGTGCTTCAGCATATTAAATGGTTAATCAGTGTCCATCTGTTGCTAGTATGGCTGGGGAGAAAGCGGCCACTCCGGTCTGCATCCCATACAGGTTTAGCAATGTGTGGGGAGACAGCTGCTGCTTCTGCGGGATCAAACTTTACCTCTAAAAGAGCATTTCTCCACGGTGCCCTGGCTCCTCAGCACTCACAACTTGCGTGATAAATGCAGCCTTTTGAAGGAGGCAGCTCTCCGTATTACTTATTGACTATTCTGCCAAGAACTTGAGTATACAGGATTGGCATTAAATATTTTTCTACCCAGGACACTGTTAGAAATATGCAGGAGGTGAAAAGCTTTTGAAAGCACAGCAGTTTCGTGGTGAACCTCTAGCAGTTTAGAGGTAGATGAATTCGTCCCTGTATTAGTATTAGCTGCTTATTTGAAACTGAGGAAAATAAAACATAGCTTAAAGCATTTCTTCAGTTACAAACATATCCTGAATTTTATCTAGGCTTTGTTTGTTGTGTTTTTTTGGGGGGGGATTTAATAACTTCCTACCTTTTGGTGTGACAATTTAAAAACACTTAAAAATGTTAAAAGACTAGAACCACAAATGCCTTCCATCTAGATTCAGTGGTTGTTAATGTTTTACCATACTTCTTTTTTTTCCTTCTCTCCCCCCTCCCAACATACCTAAATACACCAGTTTTGAGAACAAATTATTAATCTGGACCTTTATGATCTCTAAATACTTCAGCACGAATCTCCTCAAAACAAGGGCAACCTCCTAAATAACCCCATTGCCACTATCACGTCTAAGCAAATTAACAATCATTCTACAATCATAACTCATATCCAAGCCATGCTTAAATTTCCCCCATTGTCTCCTAGAGATGTCTATGCAATTCGCTATGATCTAGTCAAGGTTTAAGGATTCCATCTGGAGGTTAATCTGGAAAATTTTCTCCACCTTAACTTCTGTTTGGTTTTGACCTATGAGGCTGATTTTTCAAGAATCCAGACCAAATAACTCACAGAAAGTCACACATTCTTCATCCGTCTGATTGTATCTGGATGGTGCTCTTTAACATTTGCTTTCAAGCCTGTATTGTCCTTAAAATGGAAGTTAGATCTGGAGACTCTCAATTAGGTTTAAACTTTTTTTTTCCAGGAATACCACAGAGGCATCTCAGAATGTTCACGCATTGGGTTTTTCCACTCATAGTGATGCAGACAGAGGGTAATGCCTTATTTGACAAAGTGACTGAGAAACTCCCATGGAGACTGAGGGAAAGTTCACATGCTAATGTTTGATGACAGGTGCAATCCTATGACTGCAACAAAGGTGGGAGAAAAGAATTAAAGCAGCAAAAAAGGGAAAATGAATGCAACATAGTTTGTTGCCAAGCTGACCATGGTTTCGTACACAGCCCCACTTGGTCATGTGGGGCATCTCTGGAGGTGCTCTGGGCACCGTTTCATATGGGTGGAGCTGTTTTCTGGCAAAAAGCCCACAGTGTGTAAATGCCCCTGTACTTCCAGATTGTGTTACCAGTACCTCTGGGCAGCCCCTGGGAAAGTCAGGATTCTGTGGGTCCCACTGTGTTTGACTTGGGTGTGGGAGCTTCTGTAGAGCTTTCCAGTGTAATGACAGCCTTGCCAGAGGCAGAGATACCTGTTATTGTAGGAGGAGAGGTGACAAGATGGAGTCTGGAGCTTTACAACCATCACTGGGACCTCATCAGGGCAAGTGGGTCCTGAGAGGCAGGCCGGCAGACAGGGCCAGACACATCCGTGGGGAATGGGCAAATATTGGATTCAATACCAAAAGGAACATCTTTCTCTTTGAAACTAGCAATGCTGCGGAATGATAGTTTGCCCCCCTAGGACTAGCCTATTGCCCAACTACTTTTTATGCACTGGTTTTAGTACCCATTGTTTATTCGTGCCTGAATCACTTGTTACATCAGGAGTTGCAAGGTATGGGGGCTAGTGGTACCCACTGTTACTATACTAGGTTGTCACTTCTAGGTTTTTCAGGAACACAACTGGGAATATATGTGTATATATATAGACACATACATATATACACTCATGCTACTTCATATATATATGTATATATTTAAGTATATATATATACATATACGTACACATACACATATATACTTAAATATATACATATATATATATGAAGTAGCATGAGTTCATATTGTTTTTGGTTTTATTAAACAATACTTTTCTTAAAATACTTTTTATATTTTATTTTTCCCTTGATATTGGAAATTCTTGGTTCCCAATACTATTAATGTAGGTATAGTCAGAGTAGTGTGCTCAAGTTACCAAAATAACTTTGTCTTTCATTGTTGGTTTAGTAACTACTTTTATATAGAGTGAGGTCATTTGTTTAAGGTCCAGGTTTAATGCCTTTTCTTTATGATTAACTTTTTTTGAGTATATAAAATACATGGTTCAAAAATGAACATTGTATCAACATATTTAATCAGAGAAGCCCTCTCCCATTGAGCATCCTCTCCACTATTTCATTTTCATTAGTTCCTGGTTTCTCCTTTACTGTATTTCTTTTTGCAAAAATCAGCAAATACGGAGCTAGAGTTGACTCTTGAAGAACATGAGGGTTAGGGGTACCAACTTCCCATGCAGTCGAAAATCCATGTGCAACTTTTGACTCCCTTAACACTTAATTACCTTACTATAGTAAGTATTATATACTGTGTTCTTATAATAAAGTAAGCTAGAGGAAAGGTTATTAAGAAAATACATTTACAGTACAGTACTGTACTGTATAAGTGGACCCACACAGTTCAAACTATGTTGTTCAAGGGTCAAATATACAGTTTAATTTCCCCTTCCTTATTACACAAAATGCAGAACACTACACACTGTTCTTTGTCTAGATTTTTTTCTTTTCGTAACATATATGCAAGAAATTGTTTCATACTGTTCACAGATTTAAGTTAAATACTAAAATTCATTAACTGTTTACTACATATATATGTCAAGTGTATTAGTCAGGATAGGCCAGGCAATGTTGTAGTAACAAATCCTCAAATCTTTACAAATAAAGTTTGGTTTCTTGCTCACATAAAGTCCTGTGTATGGTAGGACATCCACCATGTCTTATAGCCACGTGTCTTGGAACAGATGTCCCCCGTGGTAGCCAGGCTGAGTAGTCACGCCAGAGCCCAGTCACATGGCCCCAAACCAATACAACAGAGGTTGAAAATGTGTCTCATTCTTCATGAAGAGGAAACAGAAATGGAATTTGGTGAATCGTAGAGCATTGTCTCTGCCACACCAGATTTCACATTCTCTCATAGAAATCCCACCACAGCTCTACAACATAGGTATTTTTACTATGCCCATTTTACAGCAAAGGACACTGAGGCTTCAAGCCTCCATATGCCTTTCAAAATTATGGTGTTCCTGTGTGTTGGGATTAATTTCAGATCCAGGTGTATCTGCTATTGTTCACTTAAAAAAAAAAAACACACAGCAAACCCATTTCAATCCATGCATAAAAGCAAAATCTGCAGAAATGCTAGAGATCAGAGCAATTGGTGTGGGAGAGTAAATATTTAGGCTTAGGATTAATAAGCTATTTCTTACAAAAAATAAGTGCAAAATAAAAATGAAATCCCTGGAACAATAAAGATGAAAACATCACAGGACACAGTGTTTCAGTAACATTGGAAGATAAAACAGCTTTATTTATAATTCCTGAATCAAGAGCTAATGTTATAGACATCTCTTAAAGTACAAAGTGAGACGGTAAACATTTTTTTCTGCCTCTTCCTCAGTAAAAGCATCATATGTTCACTGCATGAGAGAAATAGTGACTCTTACAAAACCATTTGGGATAGTTCTGACGAATTAAGCCACGTAAGCTCCAACGATTTTAAAGTTGAAAAACCTTCCTTTTAGAGGAAGAAATAAAAAAAATTTTAAAGGCCATTTGGACAGTGCATTTAGTCCCACATTATTTGTTATATTTATATGGTATGTTTAATTAGTCTATTTATTGCTAAAATTGGGTGCAACAATTCTGGATCCCAGTGTATGTTTCTAGTAAGCGATTGCAGCAAAATGAACAAAATGACAAAACTAGGAACTCCACTTTAAATGAAGCATTGGCCATCCATATAGGCAAGGGACTGCAGATTCTGTGAAAAGGGAAGGTGGTTCCTGAAGGTGATTGTTCTAAATCAAGGCAAAGCTCACCCTCCCCTATGAGTGTGAAGCAAACTCATTCTGCCTGTTGATCCAACAGTTTTCATACTGCCCTGCAAGCACCAACCTCTTGTCAGTGGTTTCCAAATATTTTGGACCCCAACTACAGTAAGAAATATTGTTAGCAGTGTATACACACAGCCACTCAAAGATGCAAAGTTTCATGAGACATAGTACAGGTAAAACAGTCTGATCCCCTCCCCTCGACCTACTCTACTCTATCCCCTCCTTTTCCCCAAATGCCGGCATCCCTGTATTCACGTACTGTAAGACCGGCTGTGTGAAATCCCTAAGCTGTCACTGCTTATTGCTTTGGCTGGCCAATCAAACCTGCCTGTGTCAAATATTTATTTTCTCTTTTTGTCCCACAGCTCCCAGAAGGAAGAGAGGCTCAGTGCATGGAGAAGGTACGGTCATCTCAGAATCAATAACTAAACTCTGGAGCCTGGAAGACTCAGTGTAGAAGCTGCCACTACTTGTTTAATTCCATCTTCAAAAATGTTCAGATTCGCTTACCATGTTGGCACATCACTTGGATTGCCAGATTTGGCAAAGTGAAGCAAGCCAACAAAACCAAGATGCCAGTTATGTTTGAATTGCAGATAAACATTTTTTTAGTGTATGTCTCATGCATTAACAATAATTCCTTGTTTATCTGAAGTTCAAATTTAACTGGGTGTTTTGTATTGTATCTGACAACCCAGTTGGCCGCACACCCTGTTTCCTTTTACTTTGAACATCTTAAGTCTTAAGGATAGATCTAGACTGGACAGGATGTAGGCACTGCTCTTGGGAGGGGGGGACATTTTGGCTTAGCCTCCTTCTGCTTTCCTCAGTTTTAACTGCTGGCTACATGGCCCACAGCCCCCTTCAGGGTTCTCCCATCTGGTGGTCGCCCTCTTAGACTTGGCATTGATAGGCAAGATGGTACAAACCCTGCTCCTGCTGTGTCCACTTGGCCTTCAGATCCTCTTGGAAGCTTGGCATCCAAACCTCAGGGATGCCAAAGGTGAGTCACCAGCCCTATCTAGCTGTTTCACAGAATCACAGTCTCTCCTTACAGCAATCTCCATAAGTGATCCTCTTCATGAGGGAGAGCCTGCAAGGTGGACAGGGAATTGCGTCCTGCTCCACGCCTCCCGGCAGACATCCCCAGCCTCCTTCTGCTTCCAAGTCTATGTATCTCAAAGAAAAGCCTTGCCTTGGCTTCAAAACGCACTATCTGTCCATACAGGCCAAGCCTCTTCATCCCCTCAGAATTAGGATCTTTGGACTTGGTTTTTCCTCTCATTGTCCACCCCATGCCACCCCAAGACAATCAGTCATTGTCCGAAGTGCTGGGATCTTCTCTCCCTGTGTGCTGTTTGGGTTGTTCTGGCCATTCCCTTCCCGTTTGGTTAATTGCAAGAATAAATCTCACCTCCTGGTGAAGGCTTTGAGTCTGAGTTCTGAGCTTGGGGGCCTTCAAGGGCCTCCCTTCATGGCTTGGATTGGGTTGTAAGGTAGTTACTGTGCTTCTTCAGGAGGCAGTGACGGCACAAGGACAGGGGCTCCACATTTGTGGAATTAGTACGTGTAGCAGAGTCTGCTGCAGGTGGATGGAGAGGGGCAGTTGAAAGGTATGGGCCATGATTCGTGCTGTCCCTTCCATCAGACTTTTTTAGGAAACACGCCTCCCTCCTGATTGCTGAGATCCATCAGGACTTGTTGCCTAGGCCAAAGTTTCTTCCAGGGCCTTCTCTCCCCTTTTTAACTGTCTAAATGGCTGCCACTGGGATAAGTTTGAAATTCTTTATTTAAAAAAAAAAACAAAACAAAACCCCTCATAGATATTTATTAAGTTCTGCTGTTTGTGCCTAACACTGTTAGGGTCACACAAGGTGAAGACACAAGTTCCTGCATTCAAGAATCATAGCGCAGGTCAAGATCTGAATACATTAAAAAGCCATTTCAGGATGACCCTAAACATAGATAATAAAATGCATTTGACGTGATTTGTAAAGGTCATAAAATGACAGTGTTTCATCATTTGTGGAATCAGAGGATTTGATCAGATTTTCCCCAAAGTTTGCTTACTTATTCCAAAAAATATTAAGATTGTTCAAGTTTTATAGAATAAAATAACAAGATACTGTATTCACGCTGTGCAAGGCACTGTTGCTGGCAACCCTTCCACTCTTCCTAAGAATACCATGAGGTGGCAATTTCTCATTTCCCACTTGGCAGGTGGGGAAATTTAGGCACCGAGGTTAAGAATTTGCCCACGGCACAGCACTCTATGGTAGAGCTGGCGTATAAACCCAAGGCAACAGGCTCTCAAGTGCACAGGCCCCAGAGTGCCGTCCTGTGTCTCTGCAGGCCTTCGCCCAGGCTTTCCCATACATACATTACAGGTTTCACTTCCTTACGTTTTATACACAGAAGCAATATATTGTTCTTGGAATGCCTATGCTATTTTCCATTGCCTTACAAACTTTGTCCTCTGGGTTCAGACTTGTACAATTTGCAACCCAGTTTCTACATTTTAGAAACTATGTATCTATGGGACTCTGGCTGTATCTCCTTTTAGGGATTTGGTTTACTGGAATCTATAAATTTCACACAGATTTTAGCCCAAAGTCCTGACTCATTCACTAGGTTATGTTTCTTTCCTCATTTTCTCAAAACTGATCTAATTCAATCCTCAACATTCTGTCTCTCCCCTCAGGGAGGGAGTGGCATTTGAGTTGGTAATAAAAGACTTGTGAAGATTGTTCTGGGGAAAGAGAAGGACAAAGTAGAACCCAGGCTGCGGGAAGGGGATGAATTCGGAGTCCCTGTCTTCCTCAGACCAAAGATCCCTGGTCTCTTCCCTGGAATGAAGTGCATGTGCTATTCTAGGGATGGTCAAAGTCCAGAAAAAGAAATTTTTTTTTCTTGGAATATTCTCCTCACTCTAGGTTGTAGCTGAGTATATCTGAACCATTTCATACACACACACACACACACAACTAATTCTCTGCTGAAATTCCAATTGTTATTTGCTCACTTAAGCAAGCATGTTAAATGCAGGCATGTGCGGTGCCTGGATGGCTCAGTGGGTTAAGTGTCCGACTCCTGGTTTCAGCTCAGACCCTGGATCTCAGGGTCATGAGATCCAGCCCCGTGTCAATGCCTGCATAAGGCTCTATGATCAGTGTGGAGACTGCTTGAGATTCTCTCTCCCACTCCCTCTGCCCTCCTCTTCATGCATGTTCTCTCTCTCAAATAAATAAATGAATCTTAAAAGAAAATGCAAGAATGCAAGCCTGATATTTCCAGACATGACTTCAAATGGGTCTGATTCCTTAGCAGGGTCAGTCACCTCAACAGGCCAGCCCTTTAACAGGCACTAGGAATGAATCAGTGTATGACACAACACATAGGTGATTGCCACACTGCAGTGAGACATTTGGGAGGCACAGGGAAGAATTTAACTCCCAGAATCCAGTGGCTTTTTTTTTTCCTTAAACAGTTTCCAGATGATTCTTAATGAGTGTTAGCTGGGGTGTTGGGTTGCCTTTAACTTATACATTCTTCCATTGTTCCCAAGTAGCCTATTGTGGGGGTGGGGTGGGGGAGAATGTGGAGACACATGTGGACACCTTTGTCCCAGAATAGGATGGAAAACAGTGAAACACCCACCTAGCAAAAGATCAAAGATGTTCCTTTGAAAGATTTAGGTATGTCCTTTCCTTTTTATGACTCATAAAGATTCTTAGTAAAAGTTATTTAAAATGTTTCCAATAATTAGAAATAGTTATTCTGGTTTAAAACCCATTTCAAAAAGATAAGGGAATTATGACAAGGTTATAATGATAATTTGGGGGTAAGAGTTGTAATCGTTTTCTCCCAAGTACTTTGAACTGCTCTAGTATGAGGAAAAGCTTTGAAGGATTTGGCTGGGGTATGTGAAAGCTGGTCACTGCAGCCAGGACCTTTAGAATCCAAGCACCCTGACACCAAAACCAGCTTAGGTTATAAGGAGTAGGAATATTCCCATTTGAGCTTGGTTCTGCTTGAAGCAAAGCATTCATGACCCCAAACCAGGAGTTACTCGGATTATTTTTTTTGTCTCTCCAAACACTTCTTCAGTACTTCTGAAATGTCTTCAGTTTTTTACTTGTAAATTTCCCTGTTCTTTCTTGAGAATAAGTCTCCTCTTTCCCTGTGACTGATAAGTCTTGAAGGCCAAAGGCACTTCTATTTTGGACTGTGGTCCTTTGACTTCTCCCTTCTCCATCTCCTCCTCTCTCCCAGCCATCCCCACCACCTGTGGAGGCTCAGTACAGGGAAACCTCAGCCTCCTGGCATCGGGAGCCAAGGTTTTTTACTCACTACGTAACTGGATGACTCTCACTAATGGTGCTGGTCTATGGAAATGCTGACCCAAGCTGCTCTGGGTTTAAATGAAAATTCACAGATTTAAAAACAAAACCACCCAGGGATAGTCAGAACTTGTAATTGTTAAAGAAAGGTGTTTGAAAGCAGACCAGCTTTCACTATGGCCTAATCATACTTTGAGAGCCCTGAAAAAGGGACAGACCAGGTGAGAAACAGGAGTGGTTTCCTAAGGGGACCAAGGGGAAGGTGGCCGGCCCTCAGGCTTTCTCTGGTCTCAGATGGTCAGGGCATGAAGTGATCTCCCATGAAAATTCAACGTGACCACCACCCTGGCACTTTCCGATTGCTATCTGTAAACTTCTAAACCTCACAGATATTTACATTGCTGTGTGCAGTTTTAAAAGCATTCCCACAGTCTTGGTTTCATTTGATCCTCATGAATACCTTGCCAGGGGTGAAGGATACATTTCCTTACCTGCACCTTGCAAAAGGAAACCATATCTTCCACCACAGAAATCAGAGGAGCCAGGATCTGAGCTGGCAGGTAAATGTTCACTGAATTAAACAAATACAGAAATATAGGAGTGTTTTAAGGGAAACAGGTCTCTGCCCCAAAGAAATTCATTGTCATCACTTCTCAGCCTTTTGGCTAAGATCAAGTGAAGAAATTCACTGTCTGTTTGGGGAGAGATGCTCAAAATTAAAATAATTAAAATAACAATACAATTTAGTAAGGAAAGACCAGGTACAGTGCAGATATGATCAGTGCATCCTTCACTGTGAAATGAAATGAAGAAAGCATTAGGATTCTAAGTGTACTTAAGTAGCTTTCATCCCGTGACTGAACTGCAATCCCCAGTGTCCTCCACCTGCTACCTAACCTTCATCTCAAGTCTCTGCTTAATATCCTGGGTTTTACTAGGATAAGGAATCCTAGTGTCTGTAAGAAGTCCAGCTTTACACTTAGCTATGGTGATGTCTGAGCTTGTCACATCCTCTTCAGTCCTGTACTCGCAGTGAAACTCCGGCCCTCCCCACCCTCTTGCTTTTTTTTTTTTTTTTTTTTTTTTGGCCACAAGGAACATGAAAAAGGGATTGGGGGAGATCTATCTTCAGTGTTCCCAAAAAGCCCACCCTCACCCGCTGGATTTGCTGAAGGGAGCAGAGTTCAGAGAACGATGTGGTGACTAATGCATCAGACACTAAGAAAGACATTTAGGAGGATGGTGTTTTAGGAAAGAATACCAACCAGGCCAAAGAGAAGACAAAGTCAGAACATGCCCATGGTCAGGACTATCATCACCTGACACAGAAGAATAATCGTGTGATAATTATGTGTGTATGGATAGGGATAACTAAGAGGAATAATAGATCATTTAAAATTGAGATTTCCAAAAATCTAGGATGGCACTTGGGTGTCAATGCTCTCCAGAAAACACAAATGGTCCCCCAAACGCCTCCTTCTTCATCTGGGGACTCTGTGGCCTTTTCTTTGGAGACTATGGTCCTGTCTTCTTATTTACTCCTTATATCACATGGGCAAAAACAGACACAAAAGTCTCTAGTCAACTCCCAAGCATTAATTTATTCTGAAGGCACAGCATGGGCAGCAAGATCAGACTTCTGGCCTAAGAGCTGTTGAAACCTGCAATGTCAAATGAGCCAGAGACAGACTTAAAAGGCAAATAACAATCTGGGAAAATGTTTACAACATAAGTAACAGTATTTTATTTTATAGTCTATAAAGAGTCCTAGCAAATGAGTAACATGACTGTAAAAGATAAAAGTAGGCAATTCACAGAAGTGACATAAAAACAGGTTCCACTTGGGACACCTGGATGGCTCAGTCAGTTAAGCCTCTGCCTTTGGCTCAGATCATGATTCCCAGGTCCTGGGATGGAGCCCCACACTGGGCTCCTTGCTCAGCAGGGGAGCCTGCTTCTCTTTGTACCTGCAGCTTCCCCTGCTTATGCTCTCCCTCTCTCCCTCTCTTTCTGAGAGATAACTAAATAAAATCTTTTTTTAAAAAAGATTTGATTAGATTAAGATATAAGATATTTAGATTGACTATCACTGGGTGTTTTTTTAAAATTTGATTATTTCTGGATGTTTTAATTTTTTCAATTTGCTTATTTATGGTTTACTGTTTTTCTGCAATGAATGTCCATTTCCTTTATAATAATTTTAAAAACTGGGTAATTATGTGAAAATAAAAGGATAGAAGCAAAGGTATTTTTTTTTTAAAGATTTTATTTATTTATTTGACAGACAGAGATCTCAAGCAGGCAGAGAGGCAGAGAGAGAGGAGGAAGCAGACTCCCTGCTGAGCAGAGAGCCCGATGCGGGACTCGATCCCAGGACCCTGAGATCATGACCTGAGCCGAAGGCAAAGGCTTAACCCTCTGAGCCACCCAGGCGCCCCATAGAAGCAAAGGTATTAATAAGTTCTGAATTCACTGGAATTAAACTGTAGCTGATCATTAACAAATAAATCATAAAGTGCCAGCATTTGCCTTGAATTAACTAGATTTAGTTTTTCTGCCATCAGCGGTAATAAGGCCTAGAATTAAAAGTGACTTGAGTTACAGTAAAGTTACAATTCTGGCATTACCTGTCTCTGAACTATGAAATCTGTACTTGTTATGTGTTTATATGTGTGTCTAGCAAGTATTTGGAAAGGTATCCACTAAATTTAAAAGTGGTCCTGTTCAGCAGGGTGGGATTAGAGGAAGATAATTAATTTTTTCTTGATGCTACTCTGTATCATTTGACTAATTAGAACAAGCATGCAAAAAATCTAAGTATCTTTAACAAGCATTATTATGAATATTTAGAAATGTGAAGTCTATCTATGGTACGGTGAGAAAAAAAATCATAATGCAAAATATACTATATCATGTACCTACTGGTGGGAAAGGCCTGGGTGGGAATACTCTATCATGAAAATAGTTTTTCCAGTTCATTTATTAGTTCCTTTATTCCACAAATATTTGTTGAGCACCAACTAAGCGCTAGGCTCTTGGGAGACAGCAAGGAATCAAATAGCCAAATACGGCCCCCCTCATGGAATTTATATGGCAGTAGGGGCAGACGGACAATAAGCAGTAAGCATAATAAATATGTCGGTTAAGTGAGTGCTATGGAGAAACCGGAGCTGATGAAGACAGACTGGCACTGCTGAGTGAAGAGGAGGGTTACAGGGGTTGATCAGGGAAGGTCTCACTGAGCTGACATTTGAGAAAACGTCTGAAAAGAGGTGAGGGTTGAGTCAGGCAAATATCTGGAAGAGCCTTCTAAGCAGAGGGAGCCACCAGTGCCAAGGTCCTGAAGTGGGCTCAAGGAAAACCAATGAAGGCAGTGTGGCCGAGTCAGACTAAGCAGAGGGAGAGCAGGTCAGAGAGAAGCAGGGCAGCTACTAGGTGTTGGGCTCTGTAAGGAGTTTGGCTTTTCACTCCAAGTGAACAGGGAAACCAATGCCAGGATCCCTCCGGGTGTTGTATGGAGATTAGGCTTTTGGGGGAGGGGTTGTACAGCAGAGACCTGATTGGGTGACAGATGCAGGTTGCTGTGGGGATGCTAAGGTGTTGGATACTAGATATAGTTTGAATGCACAGTCAACAAAATTTCCCAGTTGGGTAGAGGATGTGAGAGGAGTGTATGAGGATGAGTCTTAAGGTTTGGGCCTGAATAAATGAAGTGGAGTTGCTGTTAATTCACATGAGAAGGACAGCTGGATGCAGTAGGTTTGAGTTGGAGAAAGAACTTATTTGTGAACCTGTTATGTTTGAGTGTAACAGCAATATAAGTTCTGTTTAAAGAATGTTTCTAATATGACATCTTTCCAAATAAATCATTTCAAGACTCCTGACTCAGCAATTATTACACTCCCAGTACTGAAAATATGTGTTAGTCACTGCTAGCAATCTGGAGAAATCACAAGAACAGAAGATATGCCAGAAGACTGGAGCCCAGGTTCCAGTTTTAAAAAACGGAAAAAAAACGAGGGCTGCAAATCCATCCACAGTCGTGGCCATATTCTAGAACAAGTGAACTCCAAAAATTAGTTACAGCTCCTCTTGGATTCAGCTTGGAGTCTAGCAAGTCAGACCAATGCATGTACTAGAAAAACCCAGACTTTCCTTCCACGTCTTCTTTCCTATTTTATAGAACTCTTCACTTCTGATAATTTCTGACACCAAATATGTGGGGTTTACTCCCCCCCACCGAGCAATTTTCTGTGACACCAGCTGGTTGTCCTACAATTTAACTATCCAGGTAGACAATATCTACCTGGAGACAGCTAGCATCAGACTCCACAGTCCATTAGAGACTGACCACACTTCAGACACCAATGACAAGTTACCCACAACTTCTGCCTGACCTGGCTACACATTGGCAGTTCCCAGGACTTCCTTCTCTTGGACTTGATTATTTGCTAGAGCAGCTCACAGAACTCAGGAAAACACTTACTTACACTCAACAATTAATTAAAGGATATAAAAAAAGGATACGGATGAACAGCCAGATGAAGAGCTACCAAGAGCTTGGAACCAATGGAACCGCAGTCAATGACCAAACATTAGGACAGAAGATGCACCTAGTGCTCTTACCACTTAGGAAGTTTCAAGGGTTTTAGGAACTTTGATCCAGGAATGAAATGAAGAGCAAACACACAATCCTTATAAATCATAACATCTCACAAGGCAGGCCAGAAGACTGAAGCTCAGGCTAGCGTTTTCAGAGAGGAGGTAAAAACAGAGGCTGCCAATCCATTCTGTCTCGGCAAGACTCTAGGACATGTCCTTAGGGGATGACACACGAACTCCAAAAATTAGTAGTAGCTCCTCTACTACTACTGATTCAAGCTGAGCGAGTCAGGCCAATATATTTAGGACAAAAAGAAAGAAAGAAGAAAAAAAAAAAAGCAACCAGGGCCATTTTGGGACTTGCAAGCCCCCTGCAGAAGCGGACAGGTTTCTTCTGAGAGAGGTGTCAAGCGGAAGGCGGCAGCGGCCGCGCGGAGTCGAGTTGGGTCGGAGGCCGCCTCTACCGCTCTCCAGTCCTGTAACCGCAGGCTGACTCCCGGCTGTTCGCGGGTGGTGGTGGTGACCAAGTAATACAATTAATACCGCAGTATTAATACTTGCAAAGTGCTTCGCACAGCGTGTACAACGCGCACTGAGGGCGCGGGGCCGGGGGGGGGCATTCATTTTAGAGCACTCTTACCATTTTCTTTCTCTTTTCTGACCCAAGGAAACGTCCTGCAGGGGCGACAGAAGCAGCGAGAAAAAAGAAGCGACGCGCAGAGCGACACTTCCCGCGGGTGCCGCTCCGGAGCCGCCGGCGCAGGCAAGGTTAACTCGGGCCTCGCAGCTTCCCGAACCGCGCCGGGCCGGCGAGACCCGCAGCCCAAGAGCCGAGCCGCCCCGGCCTCCCACACCAGCCGGGCGACGGGCGGTTGCTAGGCGACCCAAGCAGGGCCAGGGGCCAAGGCGATCCTCCCCCCTCCCTGCCCAGGTCCCACCCCGTCCCGCCCGCGGAGCGTCAACGCCCGCGACCCGCCGGGGCGCCGAGGCGCATGCGCTCTTCCCGCCGCGCAGCGCCCGGTGACGCGCGCTCCCGCTCGCCGCCGTACTCTCTGCCCCGCCCCTTCTCGTACTCTCTCCCCACGCTCAGTTCTCTTCCAGACCCGGTCCGGCCCACACCTCGTCTCCGGTCTTGGGAACAGTGCAGACCCACGTCCCGCGCTCCCGTGGTGGCGGTGGTGACGGGCGGGGGGGGGAGGGAGCGGGGTGCGGAGGAAGAATGAGGCGGGACGAAGGGAGGTGGCCGTTGCCGCGGACTCACTTCCGGAGCACGGGCGGAAGTGGCTGCGGGGGATGGTGGGGGGGGGAAGGAGCGCGAGGGGAGGGCCCGGCCGCCGGGGGTCGAGGGGGTGGGGCCTGGGCCGCCTGTTGGGACCCAGCCTGGGGCCTGGACTCCGACCTGGGAGGGCCACGGCTTCCAGCTGAGACCAGGCGGCCGGGATCCAGGTAACGACCCAGAGCCGCCGGGGCGAGGGTCGTCCGGGCGGTAGGGGGTGCGGGGTGAGGGGTGGGGGTCAGAGTCTAGGGAGGGTCGCCGTGTCACTCCCTTCCCGGGTGTGCGCGGAGCATGGGGTGCGGAGGAGATGGGTGGGAGGAGTTAAACTCATGGAGGGGGGGGCCATGTGAACGCCACGCCCCTACAGGAAGGACGGGTGTGTGTGCGTGTGTGTGTGTGTGTGTTTAGGAATAAATTTAGAAGGGAGGGGGCGACGGTGTGTGTGTGTGTGTGTGTGTGTGTATGTGTGTGTGTGTGTGTGTGTGTGTGAGAATAAACTTAGAAGAGAGGGGGCGACCGGGATGGGCTTCCCAGCTGAGAAACTGGAGCGCGGGGAGGCTGCTGCCGGCCGGACTCGGGCCTCTCTCCCCGCAGAGTGCTCTCCGCGGCCCCGGGAGGGAGTTCGAGATTAGGAATCCCAGCCCTGCCACGGTTTTGGGAGCCGAGGGAGAGGCGAGGCCGAAGGGAAAGTAGCAGAGAATGTATGCGGAAGGGGCCCGGGTCGGGGTCTGGAGTGGATTGAGTTCATTCTGGGAGCGCTGACCGGGCGATTAAAACACTGAACTCCCTAAGCTTGGGAGCTGGAGGAGATTAGTGTGTGGCAGTAACAGGACAAGAGGGAGAAGGGAGAGGGATGTTCTTTTCCATGTCTTAGAAGACAGTCTCAATTGACGGTAGAGGAATCCAATCTAGGTAAGGAGCCTTAGGCATCCGTTGGGGTACAGCATAGGATAGAAAGTGTCCTAATGTTTAAATATTCCACAGGTTAACACTGACACCAGCCTTGTGGCCATGCCGGTTCTATGGCCTGTTTCTTCTCATGAACCCCAGCAGAAGACAGACCGGCCGGTCCTCACAGTGAATGACTTCCCTTCCCTGAGCAAGAGATGGGATAGAACCCGGGCTCTTCCCCACACCAGACTCTGGGCGTAATAAGCCAGCTGAATGAAGGAATGTAACAGACCCCTAGGAGGGACACTGAACCCTGCCGTGGGGGGGGAGGGGCCTGGACATACCCCTTCCCCCCCCAGACTCCTCCCCCTCAGAGTCCACTCAGCCATGGACTTTGGACCTGGATAAGGAAAAGAAGCTGCACTTTGTTTTGGTGTATCCGATTTGGGATTGTGAGTTTTGGAAATGGAGTGCCGGAAGGGGGTTTGATGATCTCCAGGGGAGCAGCTGAGAGAAGAAAGGTAAGTAAGGTTCCTGTCTCACTTCCCAGTGGGTGTCTTGCTGCTCTTAGGCAGAAAATGTTGAGTGGGGCCAATCTGGGGATGCTGCCATTTAGGAAGTGCCCGATGAGATCCCTTACCCCAATGGATACACAGGAAGCTTTACATCTGTTTCACTCTCTTAGAGTGTAGGCTTGTTCCCGGCCTCTCTTTACCCAGGTAGGAGGAGTACGTTGTAAGATGTTCTGTGCGGTGGCATTTTGAGAGTTTAGGCCTAGGAGAACATGAAGAGAATTTTAGCTTCTGAGGAGAGGCTGGGTTAGACTATCAATAAGGACCAACACCGAGTCAACACATCTTGGGCTAAATAAGACTCTAGGGTGGGTTACTTAGGCAGAGGCAGGCTGCTGTGTTTTGGGGGAACTAACTGAGTGGAACTGCCTGGGGGGAGGTTAGACGATGGTCTGGATAACTTCCTAAATTGTCTCTCTTCAGATTTAGGCCATGAAACCTTATGCAGACCACAGAAGAACAGAACACAGGTTTAAGATCAGTTGAATTTTCGTTCTCGCTCTTTCTTAGTGTATAACCCTAGGAATGTCAGTTAAGATCTGTCATGTTCTGTTCACCTGTAAGACAGGGGTACCTAGCTTTAGAGCTTCCTCACAGGTTGTCACAGGGAGCAAATGGGGGATAGATCTTGAAAAGTGTCCAGGGCCGTGTGTGTGGAAAACAGTACTGTTGACATTGCTTGATAATGCTTGTGTAATTGGTACATACAAAAAAACTCTGATTGAGGAGTTCTGTTCTTTCATTGAATTAGTGTATTGGCAAAAGCCTTGGATGTTCTCAATTAAAAGCCTGCCCTGAATGTGTCTCATCTTGTTGCCGTTAAACAATCCCTGGGATCATCAAGTAGTGGAAAAGGTGCACAGGTCCTAGGAGAGCTTAGGTTGGGGATTCTGGTCCTTAGGGCTCTCCACACTTGTGATAAGTGTGCCTCTTGGGGTAGCAGATTAAAGAGGGCCAAGTGTGTGGTTAGGAGGTGGAGCTCCATTTCTTGGAGTAAATTCTGGGCCTTTCTTCCTGTGCCATATCCTGGTATTCTCCTGCTCTTGAAGATGACAGTGTTTTTGGACTTCCATCTCTTAGTCCTTTCTATTTTTGCAGGCTGTTCCCACAGACCTGTTCATAGTTACCGTCTCACCTCCTTCCTGCTCCTTCCTTGAACCCCAGTTTACTTATGCCGAGATACCTGCTTTTCTCAGTTACAACAAACAGAAAGGAGATATGTTGGCAATTTTGATAGGTGGTAGGGTATGGTGGCCTGGGGGCATGGGGCAGAAGGCTTGGCTTCTAGCATCTCTGCCTCTCAGTAGCTGTGTAACACCTGGAGCTCATATTCATTGGGGTTGTCACAATAACTAAGATCATTTGCAAGCTGAAAATCACGTTATTTATGACTTAGCTTCTTTTTTACCCTCCTTCCTTTCTTGCCTGCCTTCCCCCAGTGGTGAGCTGTTTCTTCTCTGGTCTGAGGCTGGCTTGGAGCAGTACCTTTCAGGCCAAAGTTCTACTTTAGAAGGTCTAGATTTCAGGGTGGCAAGTCACCTGCCCCAGCTTGGCATTCCTAGTTCCCACATTCCTAGTGCCAGTCCTTGCAAGGGCTTTCTGGTCCCAGGATCCTTTTGCAGCCCTCATCTTACCTGGAAGGCCTGCGAGTGTACAGAGTTGTGCTGTATATATATGGCGCTTTTGTTACATGAAGTGTCCAGTTGGGTCACTTTTCTGTCACCACGCTGTTGTAAGGAAGAGAGAGCAGGGATTATTTCCCTAGTTTGGTAGGTAAGGGGAAGCTACAGAAGCTCTGAGCACAAAGGACTTGCCTCAGTGTTGAGAGGCAGATACCGTAATTGCCTGCCCAGTGCTGGGCTGCTTCTACAGCATCTGACCTAATAAGGGCCATCTGGATCCTGCTGCAAACCTTCAGGGAGGGAAATTTAGTGCCCTGTCAGACAGCCTCTCTGGTAAGACATTTCCTCCCTAGATTGAACCAGAATTCCTCTCCCCTGTCATTTTCACTGAAAGTGCTAGTCCTGTGCTCTGCCTGACCCTGTCTCAAGATAGTCTTCTCAAGACTGTCATCGGCCTTCTCACAGGAGTAACTTCTCACAGGGGTACAGGATCTCAGACCACTTAGCCAGGAGCAGTGGTAGACTTAATCAAAAGTTGTGGATGTGTTTTAACTGAATTTATTTATACCATTGTGTCACACAAAAGGAATTGTATGTAGTTAACCAAAAGTCTCATTTCATAGACATTGCTCACTGGTCCTTTTATTAATCTTTTCTCTTTTCTTTTATCTTGATGAGCTGTGTTTCTGGGCCTCCAAGGGGAGTATCGATGTTGGGAGAATGGGAGAGGGAAAATTAGACACAACGCTGATTTAAAACTTTGATTTTACTTCTTCTGATAGTTTCTAGCCAAGATCTGCCTTAAGTTCAGATCATGAATTCTTTCCAAGTTGTAAAAAATTTCAGGGTATCTTAGGTATGGTTTATGGGAAGGCAATTGGAAGATTTTCATGTCCTTCTCCTTATGTCTCCAGTCCTCTTTTGGAGGTAGTGGGGGTGGGCAGGATACAGTATTTTCGCTTCTAAATTCTCTCTTATCTTATGATCAGATCTTCCTATTTTTTCCGTTTTCGCACACTCCAGTTTCAGTTTCATTCCCAGAATTCAGGCACCTAGCTCCTTGTTTCTGCCCTTCTTCCCCTTCCCCCTCAGCCCATAACACCTCCTCATGAAATCTCCAGCAAAAGCCCTGGTTCTCTTTTCCCAGGTCAGTGTGGCACATGTCACCCTGGCTTCTTGCCTCCTAGACCAAGTGTTTTCTTTTGTTTCCGTCCAAGAATTCAGCCCAAACCAGTTCTCTAACCCGGCTCTTTCTGCTTGGGACAGTCCTTTTGTAGCTGGGGAATTTCTACCTGTAGATCTTCTGTAAGCCTTGGAATTTCAACAAAGTAGTCATTGGGTGTTAGTTCTCATGCACAAGCAGTTCCCCATTCTTGTCCTCACTGAACTGCCTTGGATAGAGGAGGATTATTAGAGTGGGAATGTGACATCTCGTGGGCTGGTCTGCCCCATTTTTCAGCATCCTATGTCCTTTGTCCTGGAGGGTGATTTTAGCTTCTGATATCTTGGATCTACAAACTAGTATTTCCCAAACTCTTTACACTTTTAGGAATTACGGTTTTCCTTCTTACTTTGATGTGGAGTGTGAGTGTGTAGGCCTCCTGCATCCCCCAACTCCCTTCATAAGGAAAGCATAAAGAGAGGGCAGATGTGCAGAGACAGTGGCTATTGGCTAGCATATGAATGTGGGCTTGCATTTCTTACCATGGTCCATAAAGTCAGCTCAGCTGGAAACCTTGAAGACACACAGTCCAGTCTCAGTGAGGTGTCAGCTCTTTTCTCACTCTGCCCCTTCAGAGCTAGGCTCCAGCTGCTTCTTCCAGAATTTCCCTGCTGCCCCAGTGTGCACCTGTCATGCTGGACACACAGCCATCTCAGTGTATTTTCACTCAAGGGTGTGTAAGAGGAAGGAAGGAGTGCAGGAATGCCTGGGTCTAAAACCTGGCCATGCCCCTCACTAGGTCTTGTGACCTTCAGCCAGTTGGCACTTACCCTGAGATTCACACTGCCTTGGATAGAGTTGGCCCCCCTTCTGTAGAATGGGATGATAATGCACACTCTGCAGAGCTGTTGGGAAGGTTCTGCATGTGGAGGCCTCTGTGCAACTGGTTTATTTCCTTAGCCCCTGGTGGGGGTGGGAGTGGGGGCTTTAGGGCATACTCTGCCTTTTTGGGGAGGGGTCTGGAACCCTTCATAATTCCTGGTTTCATGTAGAAACACGTTAGTGAGTGAAAGCAGTCAGTAACCCCACACTGCTAAGTTCCTGCCAGCGGTGTGGAACACAGGAGGGAAGTGGATTCAGGGAGGGCCTGGAGCCTGTAGACTGTCCTCATCACTTGGTGGGGCTGGCCCTAGACCAGGTGTGCGTGAGTAGCCAGGAGCTCTCAGTGCCCCATCCTCACGTCCCAGGATCAGATACAGACATCGGGGCTTTTCCAGGGTGCTCCCTCACCCCGTTTCACAGGGCTTCCACAAAATCCTGAGATGGAAGTCCTGTATTCCTTAGGTCTCATGGATCTTATCCCTGGGACAGGTCTGTCCTCTGCTCCTGTACTCAGAGTGAACAGCTCTCATTCCCCACCTCGAAAGAAAAAAAAGTATTAAAAAAAAAAAGAAAGAAAAGAAATAAGAAAACAGTTCCCCCCCCCCCCTTCTGCTTCTGGCAGCAGGTGTTTCCTCTCTGGCTTCTTTTTTGGCACCTTGGTTCTTGTTCTCGCATCCCCGCACTCTGGGGCCCCTCTGTTGCCCCGGCTCCTCCCCCCGGAAGCTAGACTTTAGCGGGTTGATGAGCGCTGTCCGCACGACCTCGGCCTTGGATTTGGAGGACTTTGGTGGACGCACCGTCCGGCTGCCAGGCCTACCTGAGGCCGGACTGACCCCATCCCCTCTGTGAGGCTCCAGGCGCTGGGGCTGGGGGCTTGGGGGGACGACGAGGCTCCCGAAGTCTCCGCGGGACGGGTTGAGTGTGCTAGTGGGGTCGGGATCGTGAGCCGGGAAGGGCGCTGTGTAGCCGCTTCGGCACCGCGCGTCCCGAAGTTCCGAACCCCGGAAACTTGGGACGCCCGGCGGGCGGGGATGGCCGAGTCGGGCCGAGGGGCGGGCCTGGGATGCAGGGGCCCCGGCGAGGGCGGCCGGCCCCGCCCCTCGGCCCTCCCCGCCCCGCCCTCGCCGGGGAAGGGCCACGTTGCTCCGCTGGCGGGCCGGCTAGGCGCGAGTAGGAAGGGCCGGTCGGGAGCGGGGTGCCGGCCTCCGCGCGAGCGCTGGCAACGCGCCCCGGGTCGGCCGCTTTCGGGGCCGGGAGGTCGGGAGGACCTGGTGAGTAGGGCCCGGAGCGCCGGCGTCCGTCGGCTGGGAGGCCGGCCCCGGGGAGGGGACGGGGGTCGGGCTGAAGGAGGCCCCGCGGAGCGGAAAGGGCGCTCCGGGGCTCGGGTCCCGGCGCGGGAGGCGGCGGCTGTCTGAACGCTTCGCGGCCCCAGCGGGAAGGGCTCGGCCCGGCGCGGGTTTGGCCGCGCGGCGCTAGAGAGCCGGGAAGGAGAACTCCGCGTTCGGTTCTCGGAACCCCGGGCCTCCAGCTGCTGGAGCACGGGCGGGCTCCGCGGGCGGGAGGCGGTTGTGAAACGCGCTGGCGGGGCGTCCGTGGGTGCGGGGCCGGGGAGGCGGGGAGCGGGGAGGGGAGGTGGCCTTTCCCCGGACCCACCCCAGCGTCCTTCCACGGGCTACTGGGGTTCCTCCTCCTCAGCCTCGAGGAGGAGTGACTCCATGTGAAAAATATGTAGACGAGAAAGAAAACTTTCACCACCTGTTAGCCAGCGTGCGTGGGGTCAGGGTCTCGGAGCCGTGCGGGGCCCCATCTCGGAAGCCGGGGCGGGGGCGCTGTGTGGCCCGCTGATCCGCTTTCGGACTGACCCGTGAGCCCAGGGTGAGAGGCTCCACCTCGGCCAACCCTTGCCCCTGAGGCCTGTTTCATGACTCTTTGCTTTAGGTCATCACTGGCTGAGGGACCAGCTTTGTTTTCTGTCGTTTGTCACAGTTTTCAGACTCCGGAGCCTTTTCTCCTAGACGCTTACATCCCCCGAGTCTGCCTCCCATGGTGAATCACCCCCGTCTGACCCCATTGCGGGAGACTGTTGAGCTCTTCTGGATTCCTGCCTGTGTCCTGTTGTCAGAGTCGGACCGCACTGTAGTCATGTTTAACCTCGGTGCCATATGTGACACTTTCAGCTCACTTCCTGTTTGGGACGTTGGGGAAATTGTCGCTGTCCTTTTCATCATCAGAAACCAGGGAACCTGCGGAAGATCCAAATCGATTCTTTTTCTGTTCAAATAAGGGAACTAAGGCACAAGTGGGTCAAGGGACTTGCCCAAGGTTACCTGGTTTCCCAGGCCTTCAGGCTTTTTGCTGCAGTAACATCATGCTTCCTCTTAGTCTTTTCTTTTTCAGGATGAATAACCTGTGTGCCTTCCTCCTAGGTCTTACTCTCTAAGCTCTTGAATTATTTAGTGTATTTTCCCTGACTTCTTCTCATTTCTTCCGTCCTTGTGAAAGTATGGAGACTGATACATGATTGAGGAGTCTAGCAGAGGTCTAATAATGAACGAGAAAATAATTCAGTTAGGTCTCCATTATCTGAGGTATATTCTGTGCTTTGGGTTTTTTAGGCAGTGCATTTTAACCTGGTAAGCAAGACAAAGATAGAAGGGAAAGTCTGTCAATATTACTTTAACTCCCATACTTTTTGAAGCTAAGTATTACTTCTCCATTATTGCTCATGAAGGGAAGTTAACTATCTGGTGTTCTCTTACTGTGTAAAAAATAGTTTTGCCGGAGAGGGGGGAGCTGGCTGCAGAATACCATGGAATCAGGGTGGTGGAAAGGGATCACAGCTTCTAGGCAGTCCTTCAGGGGAAGAAAGTGAGACCCACAGGAGTTGGTGGGACCTCCTCAGAGCTTCCTGGGTTTTGGCTGAGGGTTCACACTAAAAATGCTCACTCTTCATCTTCCACCACAGTGCTGATGTCTTTGTACTTGGTGGTGTGGATCAGCTGTGTCACTTCCCTAAAGGAGTGTAAAGACTAGCAAATCACAACTAGGTTTGAATCTTCGACTTGCAGGCAAATGTCATTAATTGCAGAACATCAGGAGCTTATATCAGGGTTAAGGACTATCGTTCTATTTTAGTAAAGGAAGGTGTGGCAGATTATATTTTCCCCAAATGGTCACTCCATAAATATCCCACTCCACTTTTTGTTACAATTGCACATTGTTCTACCCCCACGAGTGGTGGATCTGTGGTTTTTCTCCCTTTGAGTGTGGGCAGACACTTATGATTCCTCTGACTTATGAGTAAAATACAGAAGTGATCCCAGGCTGGATTATGAAAAGGATACAGTTTCACCTGGCTTACTCTTTTTCTCGGGACACTCATCTTTGGAACCCAGCCGTCAAGTTCAGAGGAAACCCAGGCCATGTGAAGAGGCTATGTGCAGGGCGTTGCAGCCAGAACTTCATCTAACCGTGCTAACATCAACCTGCAGACATGTGCCTGAATAAGCCTTTGGGGGAGAGTTCCCCTCCACCCATCCCCAACGTTCGAGCCTTCAGCTGAGGTCCCAGACATCATGGAGCAGAAACAGGTCATTCCCCTCTGCCCAACAGTCGAAATTCCTGACCTGTTGAAACTGTGAGAGAGAGTAAATGATTGCTGTTGAACATTAAATGTTTTTATTGTTCAATAATAGCTGTTGATGAGGAAGGGAATAGCAGTAGAGGCAGACCCTCAGATTTTGGACTTGGGGCTCTGAGCCAGAGGACAGGAGAAGCATGTGCTGTGCTTACCAAGGGTGCTTACCAAGGGTGCTTAGATTCTCTTCTACTCGTTATTTCAGGTACTTACTGCTCTATCACACATCACCTCAAAACCTAATGGTCTGAAACAGCAGAAGCATTTTATTCCTATCTTAGCTTGTTCTTCCTCATGGTCATTCCTGCGGTTGCAGTCCAATGTGGCCAGGGCTGGGATCATCCAAGAGCCCTCTTCCCATGTCTAGTGGTTGGTGCTTGCTGTTGGCTAGGACCTTAGCTTGTGAGCTAAGGGTCGTGAGCTGGAACACCTGTAGGTGTCCTGTTCATGTGGCTTGGGCTTCCTCCAACCTCTGTGGTCACAGTCAAAGAGCATGCATCTCAGGAGCAACAGGTAGAAATTGCATTGCCTTTCGTGGACAGGTTTTGCAATTCATGCATGGTCACTTCCTCCGTAGCCACAGATCAAAGAGGGAACACAGACCTCGCATCCCCCACCTCTAGTGGGAGAAATGGCATTACGTCCTTGTAAGAAGAACATGTGGGATGGGATATGTGATGATCATCTTTGGAAAAGCCCTGTCATGCTGCTGGTTTGGTCTTCTTTCTCCCTAATTTAGCTAATAATGCAAGCAGTCTGCCAGCTAGCCACTTGGACTTCATAATGTGCGTCAAGCACTGTAATAGGGTTAAGGGTCATAGAGCTTTTCCCCTAAGGAGTAAGGTGAGAACCACATAAGCACAGCCACAGATTCTGTTACAGTGTGGAGGGGAGAAACAGGAGGAGGGGAGAGAGAGTGGCGTGAGGGTAGTTGCGGGAAGGCCTAGCTCTGGCTGTGGTGCTGTGGAAGGATTTGCTGACCTGGGCTGTAAAGGATTTGCAGGTGCCCACAGTGTGGGTCCACAGGTGATGTTTCAGGATGAAGGAACAGCCAGAGCAAAGACTGCAGCATGTAAGTAAGTGTACTCATTAGGGGAAACAAGTAGCTTGCTGACACCAGAGAATGGGGTTTAGAGGCTAGTGTTGGAGGTGAGCTTGAAAAAGGATGTTTGAGTTAATTTCTTCTGAAGGCCTTGTGTCTCATGATGAAGTTGAGTTTTATTCTGTAGGCAGTGGTAGCTAGCCCCTGATGGTTTTTTACGGCAGACTGGTGTTGTGACCAGCTGTGCATTTTAATAAAGAAGGGTGCTCTGTTGCTGTTGGGAAGGTTGCTTAGGGGGAAGCAAGATTAGCGATAGGTAGATGAGCTACATACATCAGGAGTTCAGGCTTAAAGCAGTATGGCATAAGCAAAGAGTTCAGGGGGCTGGCAGTGAATGAGTAACTGTCTCTTCGATTTTCAGAATTGTGAAATGCTTGGAGCTGGATATGTTTCAGAATTTAAAATTTTTTTGGATTTTAAAAAGATAATCTGGTGCATTTATGATGTAGTATAAAGTGTGGAACCGCACCATAATCCAGCATCTTGACTTCTGTGGCAAATATATAAATAGTCACACTAAATGGATAATAAATACTATAAATAGCCTTACATTAGATCACATCAGATTTCACCAAAGGTTTTACTGCCATATGAGTGAAGGAAACTTTTCTTTGTCAGTGCTTTTTGGGCTTGGGGATTGCAGTTAAGGGATTGTGGGTGAGTGGCATCCATACAGAAGTCACTTTTTTAGGTCATTAGCAAATCTCTTGATGGTCAAGGATCCTAGCACAACAGCTTGGATGCACTGGGGGAGCTGGTCCCCGTCCTTGAATAGTTTGTAGCCCTGGGGATTTAAAAGATCTTGAGCAAGAAGTTGCACTGATGTCAGTGATGGTGAAGGGGAGGTAGACTTCACATTGTCTGACATCTTCCCTGGCAGAGACATGAGGGCACACCAAGTGAAGGAGGGAGGGAAGAAGACACCAGGCATACAAGCTCATGTGAAGGCCTTGAGGCAGGCTCAGGTGTTTGTAGCCCAGAAGGATCTAGTAGAGTAGGAGCAAAGAGAGCCAGCTAGAGAGGGGACAGAGGAAGGACTGGCTAGCATCTGTGTCACAGATGGGCACTATTCTAAACACCTGATGTAGATATCTCACCCAGGCTTTTTAGCAGTCCAGTGATGTATTCTATTATGATTTCTATCTTAGAGGTGAGAAGATTGAGTTTTCAGAGATGTGAAAAAATGTGGGATGGTGCCAAGCATTTGTTTGGCTTGCCCTTGTTACTCCTGACAGTAGGAACGAGAGCTGCACCTCCTCAATGAACTGGTTGGCTTGCCGGCCAAATGCTGGGCTGGTCTTTGGGGCTTCATCATCCCTCAGACACAGCCAGCTGCTGGAGAGCACAGGTGCTTGTGTATACACACACCGTTCATTAACTTCCATTTAGAAAGGAGGGTCCTGTCCCAGAGAGTGTGTGAGGAAGCAGTGGGAAATGGCGCTGGGACTCTGGATGAGTCTGTGTAGAGAAACAGTGGGGCTTGGGAATAGACACGTTGTGTTCTCTGCGGAAAGAAGAGCAAGTTCTGTGACACAGTTTAGCAAAAAGTGGTCATGGTCTGGAGAATGAGGGCCTGAGCGCTAAGGTAGAGGCCTGGGCTGGACTGGGACAGCTGTTTCCTGTGGGCCATCTGGCCATGCCTGATGGTTACAGACCTGCTTAGAGTCCAGTCCTCTGAGAGACTGACAAGAATGCTCTGAACTGCATGGCTTAGAAGGATGGGTGTATGGGGTGGGGGGGCTGCTTCAGGTCTTCTGGAAGTAGATGTGGGCCACCTAGTTCTAATGTCTGGAGGAGAGTGGAGGCTTTTACATGTCATCTGCAGGGCAGAGAGGATGTGGTCCCCTGGGGTTTTGCCACCAGTCTGAGAGCTTCCCGGTCTGAGATGGTTCATCAGTAAGTCAGAGACAGATCTGCTTCTCCAGCCTTGAAGTAGCTTCAGGTATGGGGGTCAGTCTCTTTTTCCCTTCTGCCATCCCTTTATCTAAAGACTGTTCCTGCCCAGTCAGTTAGGAGGCAGGAATTCAGGAGATAGGAAATCCTGATGAGATTAGAGGGAATGGTCCATCAATGACCACATCCTGAGGCAGAGTGAGAAAGAAACTGGAAATCTGTTGTCTCTCTCTTCTAGGAAACTCTGATTTGTGTATGAGCACTGATAACACGGGAATTTAATAACACAGTAAAGTGGAAACGGACTTGAGTTTTCTGAGGAAGACTGGTGCTATGGAGTTGTGGGGGTGGATGGTTTCTCAAAGGAAGATAGGTGGTGGTGCTGCTAGCAGAGGCTGGGGGAGTCTCCCCAGGAGGGAGACCGAATCCAGCTTCCTCTAGAGATCCTTCAGGATCAACACTTTGATCCTTTGACCCTGGATCTGCCTGCCCAAGAGTCCAGAAGTGCAGATATGAGATCTGGAACCTGAGATTTTGGTGGCGGTGAGGCAGAGGGTAACTGGCAGAGCAGTGGGCACAAGAGGGCACATACCTGAAGCTTTAGGGTGTAAAAAGTGGGACCAGAAGTAGGGCCAGGGAGAGAGTTGCATTGTCAATAATGTCAGCTGTCTGGAAACTGGATGGTATGGTAGATCTTTCAAGTAGTGGGTTCTAGTTGGGTAAGAGGGTTGGTAGGACCATGCCTTTTTCTTGTAAGATGTGTGTCCCAGTCCCTTCCCAGAGCTTGGCAGACAGCAGGTGTGTGCCATGGGTATTTAAGGAGTTCAGGACAAATGGATTGCTTCAGTTACCCCTACTGATGTGCCTAACTGGGGCCATCTTGGACAAAGTTAGTCAAAACTGTGGGCCACATTCCCATATTGATTTTAAGAAACTTTACTTGGAAATTTCAATTTGCAAAAAAGATCAAGAATTAGAATGGTGTAAGGAAACTCATTCCTTTACTCAGATTCACCTATTAGCATTTTGCCACATTTGCTCTCTCTCTCTCTCTGTATACATACTTTTTTTCTGAGCCTTTTGAGAAGTTGCATCTTTCGTGGCTCTCTACTCCTAATTACTTCAGTCTGAATTAGCTAAGAATTGGGATTTTATTTTCCATAAGCACAGTATGGCTATTTGTCAGTCTGCATTGATACTTAATTGACTATCTACATTCCAGTTTTGTAATTTGACCAAATATCTTTTTTTTAAATAAAAAGTTTTATTGAGGTACAATTGACATAAAGGGCACATATTTAAAATGTACAGTATTATAAGTCTGTAAGTATATATACACCCATGAAGCTGTTACCCCAGTCAAGATAATAGCAAACTTTCCAACTGTCCCTTTGTAATACCTCCCCTCACTGTCCTTACTGCCTCCATGCCTAGGCAACCACTCTGCATTCTGTCACTCTAGGTTACTTTGTATTTTCTGGAGATTTATGTATGTGGAATCAGTGTATGTGCTCTTCTTTCCATCTTTCACATATCACTGGATTATTTTGAGATTCACCCATGTGTTATATCAGTTGTTTATGCTGTTGAGTATTACTCTGCTTTATATGTAAGCCACAATTTGTTTATCCATATTCCTCTGTGGATGGGCATTGGGTTTTCCCCAGTTTGTGGTGATTTTGAATAAAGCTGCTATAAACATTCCAGATAGTTTTTGCATGGACGTATGTTTTTATTCCTCTTCAGTATATGTCTGAGTGTGGACTTGGTAACTCTCTGTTTAGCATTTGACAAACTACCAAACTGCTGTAAAAGGACATTAGTTTCGGGGCACCTGGGTGGATCAGTGGGTTAAAGCCTCTGCCTTCAGCTCAGGTCATGATCCCAGGGTCCTGGGATCGAGCCCCACATCGGGCTCTCTACTCCACAGGGAGCCTGCTTCCTCCTCTCTCTCTCTGCCTGCCTCTCTGCCTACTTGTGATCTCTGTCTGTCAAATAAATAAATAAAATCTTTAAAAAAAAAAAAAGGACATTAGTTTCATACCTTACACCATATACAAAAATTAACTCAAAATGAACTATAAACCTAAATGTAAAACCTGAAAGAGAAAACAGAGCGAAAGATATGTGTGATTTTGGCAAAGATTCCTTATATATAGTGTGAAAAGCATGATCCATAAAAGGTGAAACCCTTGATAATTGAATATCATTAAAATTAATAACTTCTGTTTTTCATTTGACACTCTTAAGAGAACAACTGTGAACTTTTGCATCTGATGAGTGAGAAAATTTTATCTTCGTATAGTTTGCATTTTTCTTATTTTAAGTGAAATTGATTATCTTTTCATATGTCTAAGGACCATTTCAGTATCTTTTTGTGTTTTGGCTTTTTATCCCCTCAGTTTAAATTCTTTGTCTCTTAGAGTATTGGCTTTTTATTTGTATGTATATTACAAATATTCTCTCCACTTTGTCTTTTAACTTGGCTAATGGTGTTTATATCATGCAAAAGTGTTTTTACTTATCACTCCCTCTCGATTTTGAATCAAACTTAGAAAGCCTTTCTCTGTACCCAGGTTATAGAGGAATTGACCCATATTTTCTTCTAGCACTTACATAGTTATATTTATTATATTTAGTTCTCTAATCCACTTGGAAGTTATTCTTCTGTACAGCTCTAACTTTGTCTTTCCAAATAGCTATATGGTTGTTATAACAACTAATAAGACCATTTTTTGTCCTAGTAATTTTAAATATCACCTGTATCATATATCAGATTTCTACCTGAATTTGTATCTATTTTCTGTAGTTGAAATTGTATTCCTTTGGATGATCTGTTTATCTATGTACTAATATCACATAGTTTTATTTATAGAAGATTTGTAATATGTAGTACTTTAGTGGTGGTAGGGCTAGTCCCTCTTTCACATCTTCATTATTTTCCTAGATGATCTTGTATGTTTATTTTTTTCATTTTTTAAAAAATTTAATTTTAGGTAGCCAACATATGGTACATCATTGATTTTTGATATAATGTTCAGGATTCATTAATTGCATATAACACCCAGTGCCCATTAGTGTCACTTTGGCTCCCAAAAGCCATATTTTTATTGAGATTTCTGATGATGCTGAAATGTCCTAAGAACAAGGATATGTAAGTCCTCTTTTGTGTCTTTCAAGAACCATAGTCTTTTTCATATAGGTTTTGAATATTTCTTGTTAAGTTTATTCTTACATAGCTTATCATTTTTATGGCTGCCGTAAATAGGGTCTTCTCAGCCATTGTGACATGTAATGAGTTTATTATTTGTGGATATGAAGGCTATTGATTTGTGCAGGTTACCTTTTATATCCTGCTACTTTTCTCAATTCCTCAGTTGTCTGGATTTGTTTTATCATTAATTCTCTTAGAGTTTTCCAGGCATATTCTTACAGTATCAACAAATAAAGATAGTCTTGCTTCTTTTGCAACTTTTGCCTTTGTCTTCTGTAGTCCATTCACACTGGCTGATCCCTGCAACGGAAGGTTAAATAGTCATATAGATGGTGGGCAGCTTGGCTTTGCCCCTGACCCTTGTGAGAATGTCCCCAGTGCTTCCTTACTGGGTAAGGTCTGGCTTTAGCTTAAAGGTGCAATATTGGAGTTTTTATTTTTATTTTTTAAAAGTTTATTTATTTATTTGAGAGAGAGGAAAAAAGCATGGTCTTGTGAGCTGGCAGAGAGAGAATCTGCAGCAGACTCCCGGCTGAGCCCAGAGCCCCTGCATGCTCTGTCTCAGGACCCTGAGATCTTGACCAGAGCTGATAGCAAGGGTCATCGCTCAACTGACTGAGCCACCCAGATGCCACTGATATTAGAGTTTTAAAAGCAGTAATCTTTGAGCAATGGGAGACAGGTGGTCTCACGTCCAGCCCTGCCCCTGAACTCTGAATGGAAGATGAGACAGAAGGGTGTCTGGTATGGCAGGGAAAGGAGGATTCCCTTGCTTCCTCCTCTGCAACATCACTCACTACTTCTCCTTCACACCATATTGCTTTTCTGAGGACTCATGGACTCTCTGCGGAGTGGGGGGAGTATGGTGTCCTGTCCCATCTGTCCCAGGTTAGGAGACAGGCAGCGCTTTTCTGAGGGAGCTCTGGGTCAGCCTCCTGGCCTCCCTGCACCCAGCGCGCCCCGTGCCTCTGATGAAGGCTGGTTTTCTGTGTCCTCTCCGCAGGTGCATGGCTCCTTCCTAGACGCGCAGTAGGCGAGCCCCGGGCAGCCCCCTGTCCCACCCTGGCCGGCCTCCCCCGCGGGGGCCAGGATGCTGAAGAAGCAGTCCGCAGGGCTGGTGCTGTGGGGCGCCGTCCTCTTCGTGGCCTGGAACGCCCTGCTGCTGCTCTTCTTCTGGACGCGCCCGGCGCCCGGCAGGCTGCCCTCAGACAGCGCTCTCGAGGACGACCCGGCCGGCCTCACGCGTGAGGTGATCCGCTTGGCCGAGGACGCCGAGGCCGAGCTGGAGCGGCAGCGGGGGCTGCTGCAGCAGATCCGTGAGCACCATGCCCGCTGGAGCCGGCGGTGGCGGGCGCCCTCGGCCGCCTCGCCCGGCCCACCGCGCCCGCCTGCGTCCCCCGCGCCAGCTGTGATCCCCATCCTGGTCATTGCGTGTGACCGCAGCACCGTGCGGCGCTGCCTGGACAAGCTGCTGCACTACCGGCCGTCGGCCGAGCTCTTCCCCATCATCGTCAGCCAGGACTGCGGGCACGAGGAGACGGCGCGGGTCATCGCCTCGTATGGCAGCGCCGTCACGCACATCCGGCAGCCCGACCTGAGCAGCATCGCCGTGCCCCCCCGACCACCGCAAGTTCCAGGGCTACTACAAGATCGCGCGCCACTACCGCTGGGCGCTGGGCCAGGTGTTCCGCAGCTTCCAGTTCGCGGCCGCCGTGGTGGTGGAGGACGACCTGGAGGTGGCCCCGGACTTCTTCGAGTACTTCCAGGCCACCTACCCGCTGCTTCGCGCCGACCCGTCCCTCTGGTGCGTGTCAGCCTGGAACGACAACGGCAAGGAGCAGATGGTGGACGCCGGCAAGCCCGAGCTGCTCTACCGCACCGACTTCTTCCCCGGCCTCGGCTGGCTGCTGCTGGCCGAGCTCTGGGCCGAGCTGGAGCCCAAGTGGCCGCGGGCCTTCTGGGACGACTGGATGCGCCGGCCGGAGCAGCGGCAGGGCCGGGCCTGCGTACGCCCCGAGATCTCCAGAACGATGACCTTTGGCCGCAAGGGCGTCAGCCACGGGCAGTTCTTCGACCAGCACCTCAAGTTCATCAAGCTGAACCAGCACTTCGTGCCCTTCACCCAGCTGGACCTGTCCTACCTGCGGCAGGAGACCTACGACAGAGATTTCCTGGCCCGCGTCTACGCGGCACCCCTGCTGCAGGTGGAGAAGGTGAGGACCAGTGAGCGCAGCGAGCTGGGGGAGGTGCGTGTGCAGTACACCGGCAGGGACAGCTTCAAGGCCTTTGCGAAAGCCCTGGGTGTCATGGACGACCTCAAGTCTGGAGTCCCCAGGGCCGGCTACCGGGGCATCGTCAGCTTCCTGTTCCGGGGCCGCCGTGTCCACCTGGCCCCCCCGCAGACCTGGGACGGCTATGATCCGAGCTGGAATTAGCTGCGCCTGCCTGCACTGCTCCTGCTGGGCTCCTTCCTCTACGCATGGTGGGCTGAGACAGACCGAGCCCCTAGGCTGCATCTCCTCTCTGTGTGTCTCTCTTGGGTACATTTACCTTTTCTTTTCTTTCTTTTTCTTTCCCTTTTTTTTCTTTTTCTTTTTTGAATGGCATTCGAGAGCACAGAGGGTGAGATGAGGGTTATTCTCCTGTTCTCAAGGGGGTCAGATCAGGGGAACCTTGGCAGGGTATGTTGGGTGGTATTAACAGGAAGCCACTGTGTGGCAGGGAGAGACTTGGGCATGTTGGGGCCACAGACTTCCACGTTCCAGGTTTTCTCAGAGCATCTGCAGAGGTGGGCAGCTTTAGCTGTCTTGACCAGCTCTCTTACCCCTGTCCTGCCTCTTCCAACCAGGGCGGGGGCTCACCTCCTGTATCTGCTCCCCATTCCCACCTTCCCCCTGTTGGAGGGGTTGTTGGGTTCTTTGCAAAGGGGACTTACCTGTGGCCAGAGTGAGACTAACCAAAGGGGTGTCATCATCAGAGTCTGGGTGGAGCTGTTGGTTTACTGCTGCCCACCCCTGTTTCTCTTCTGCCCCTCTCCTAATCCTGACCTCCTCTCTGCTCTTCTTTCCTTGCAGCTTAGCAGTGTGTGATTCTAAGATGAGAAGTCGAAGGGGGAAAGCCAGACTTCTCCTCAGCTTATCTGCAGAAGTTGGGGTGGGAGGAGCAGAGAATGTGGTAGGGAGAAAGCCTTGGTGTGCTGGGACATGCCTCCCTCATCCTGCCTCAAAAGAAACAGACTCTGTTCCTGGATCCTGGCCTTTCTAAAAAATTGACCCCTTTCCTGTTGCAGTAGGAGGTTTCATGCTGGCTTTCTGGAAGACAGATTAGCTCCTTGTGTCCTTTTTCCCCTGGGGTTTGGGGCACAGGCCTCAGGTGGCCCTCTCAGGGTGAGGTGGAAAGATAGCTCCTGCCTCCCTCCCCTGTCCACCGGGCATCCCCCTGTCTGCTCAGATTGTGGTGAGGATGGCAGGTTGGAGAGCAATGTATGTGTGTTTGCTTCTGGCCTGACCTCAGTTCATGGAAGAAAGTTGAAGCTACAGAATTATTTTCAAAAATAAAGGCTGAATTGTCTGAAAAACTGTGTGCATGTGTTTGTGTCCTGGAACAGGAAGGAGCTGAAGGGTAGAGGAAGAAGGAAAAAGAAGGGAGAACAACGGCTGAGGGAAGGGCCTGGATGGCAAGAGGAAGTGGATCAGCTAAAGCAAGGAAAGCAGATGACCGAAAGATGGGAACTGGGAGGGGCTGGGTGTGAAAGAAAGGCCAGACGTGTGGGTAGGGTTGGGAGAGGAGGTGCAGGGGTGGAGGGGTTGGTCCAAGGTTACAGTACCCTGTTGCTCATCTCTGAAGTTGTGCTGTGAGCCCTTGGTGGACTTGAGCTTGCTGTAAGGCTGAAGGCCTGGTCTGAGAGGACCCAGGCAGTCCCTCACAAAGTGGGTGCTATGTGCTGGGTGCCCCATTTCCTGGGCCTGCCCCCGAGCTCCAGGATGCAGACCTGATATCAGGGCAAGCTCTGTCAGGGAGAGGCACTCAGAGTCCTGACCATGATGCCAGTGAGAATGCTTTTATCCTGCCACCGACAACACACACACACAGCTGGCAAGCATGTCCCGAGACTTTGAATCATGGGAAACACATGCCAAGAGATTCTGTTCTCTATTCCTTCTCTTTTTGATGATTCACTAGTGTGTTTGACAACCCTGGGGAGGTGACTTTGTTCACTTATACTATTCTGGAGCTTCACACATACTAGCTGTAGGGGGAGTGGGGTCACCTGGTGCCAAAGGGAGTAGCTCCGGCCTCCCTTCTCCTGGGCTTAGGAATGCTTACTGTGCTACGGGAACCGGAGTCAGACATTCATTTTAATCTTTCAGATTTCTGTAGAGCTAGTTTTGCCTTCCCATGTGCTCGCAGACGGATCATTTAATCCTGTGGGGTAAATAAATTGGGGTAGGGTCATTATCCATGATTTGCAGACGGGGAAGGGTGCAGTGATGCCCTGGCCGGGAGTACTTGGGCTGCCAAACTCCATGCTCTTAACACTCAAAGTATTAAAACAATTGCTCACGAAGTGCATTGTTCTGAGTGCTCCGTGGTTAACATGAACTCATGTAATTCTCCAGGTAATTGTGGGGGTAAAACTCCTGTTTTACAGGTGAGAAAATGGGTACACCGAGGTTCCTTTGACCCACCACCTGGTTGGGATGGAGTGGCGGATTTGAACAGGGCCCATGCTGTTAATGACCATCTACTACTGGACTGTTCCCTTCTGTCCTTTACTGCTTTCCTCCAGGGATGCCTCCCTGGTCTCCTTTGTACTCTGGTCTCCCCTCTGTCAAGCCCCAGAGTGGTGGATGGGGCCAGACTTCCTGGCCAAGCAGCACACGGTCAGCCTGACATGGTGGGCTGGTGGGGGGCAGCCCTCTGGGAGGGATCTCCGAGGAGAGGACACTCTTGGAAGATACCGGCTGATTTCTCAGGTTTCTCCTGAAGCAAGGAGAACTTCCAGAGGTCTCCAGGTCCTGTTTCTCTCCATTTTGATGTAGGTCCTTAGGCCGAATTTGCCCTGTCACGTCATCTTCAGGTGTGGTTTATGGGTGCATGGCTGCTGTCCCTGAAGGACTGTGATCCTCCTGTATGCACAAATGTACATGATAATGCAAAAGTACATGATAAAAATGTCAGGATGAACCTTGAGGTCAGAGATTCAAATGTAATTCCAAAGAGTTCACCCAGCTCCCTGCAGCTCCCCTGCTGGGTGGTTCCTCCCCAAAACACCTGGTGACTGACTGGCATGGCTGGTGCTGGTGGCAAGTTCCCAGGGGTAGAGGGTCTCAGCTGCCTACAGAAGGCCTTGCAGGGATGCAGCGTGCCTGTGGGTCCAGTAGCTGCTCAGGCCAGACCTCTGCCTGTTTCCCCTAGCCCTTCCTCCACTTCCAGCCATCCTCCTCCCGCTCCGGATTCCTGAGAACCACTCTTTCTGCCTTCCCTCCCCCAGTCTCTTGGCCTTTGCTGTTGTTGAATAACAAATATTAAATTTTGAAGATCTAATTGGCCTTGCTGAACGATTTCATGATCGTCGCATCCCATCTGGCAACTAGAAAAGAGTTGTAAAGGGCTCCAGAAAGGGAAGGTTTTTAAAGGCAGGACAAGGAAGTCCTAAACAGACTTAAACAACAACAACAAAAACTTATTTTGGGCAAGTTCACCTCCTTTTGCGAAACAGAAGGGTCTTTGGTGGATTACGTCATCAGGGCTGACCAGGAAATTCCAAACTGGTTAAGACTGCATTCTTGGGGAAGATTGAAACTGCATTCAGTTTGGGTATGAAGCCCCGTTTAGCGACATGGGTTTACCACAAGTGACTCCATTTTGGATCTATTGTTTCTTTTTAACCGTTTTCTCTCTTTTCTGGTGGATTTTCTCTCTTTTTAGCTGTTTTTTCTCTTTTCTGGTGGATTTTCTCTCTTCTTCCTGGTGGATTTTCATTTGTGAGGTAACAGATGCATCAGTGTGGACAAATGGGTGATGACCCTGACCATGTTTTCCCTGAGCTGACCCTCCTGGGTGTGTTCAGAATCCTGCCAGGGCTGAGGTGCAAGGGCGAGGAGTGGAACATGGGGACCAGGGAACAGTAGGGGACCAAAGGTGGGAGCAGGCACTGAGGCTGGGGACCTGATTGGGCTGGAGGGGTCTGTGTTTGATGTTAGATTTCAATGCCTTCTAAAAATGAAAAGTAGGGTCGCCTGGATGGCTTAGTTAAGCAGCTGCCTTCGGCTCAGGTCATGATCCCAGGGTCCTGGGGAGCCTGCTTCTCCCCTGCCTGCCGTTCCCCCTGCTCGTGCTTTCTCTTTCTCTCTCTGTGTCAAATAAATAAGTAATATCTTTTAAAGAATAATAAAAAATTATGTGTGACCCTTTCCCAGGTTTGCACATGACAACTGAAATTCTTTTTTTTAAATTTTTATTTATTTTTTAAATTTCTTTTCAGTGTTCCAGAATTCATTATTTATGCAGCACACCCAGTGCTCCGTGCAATACGTGCCCTCCATAATACCCACCACCAGGCTCACCCAGCTTCCCACCCCCCTCCCCTCCAAAACCCTCAGTCTGTTTCTCAGAGTCCACAGTCTGTCATGGTTCATTTCCCCCTCCAATTTCCCTCAACTCCCTTCTCCTCTCCATCTCCCCATGTCCTCTGTGTTATTCCTTATGCTCCACAAATAAGTGAAACCATATGATAATTTACTCTCTCAGCTTGACTTATTTCACTCAGCATAATCTCTTCCAGTCCCCTCTGTGTAGGTACAAAAGTTGGGTATTGGGCGCTTGGGTGGCTCAGTGGGTTAAGCCTCTGCCTTCGGCTCAAGTCATGATCTCAGCATCCTGGGATCGAGTGCCACATTGGGCTCTCTGCTCAGCAGAAAGCCTGCTTCCCCGCACCCTCTACCTGCCTCTCTGCCTACTTGTGATTTCTCTCTCTGTGTGTCAAATAAATAAATCTTTAAAAAAAAAAAAAAGTTGGGTTTTCATCCTTTCTGATGGAGGCATAATACTCCATAGTGTATATGGACCACATCTTCCTTATCCATTTGTCCATTGTGGCCATTGCTGCTATGAACACTGGGGTACAGATGGCCCTTCTTTTCACTACATCTGTATCTTTGGGGTAAATACCCAGTAGTACAATTGCAGGGTCATAGGGAAGCTCTATTTTTAATTTCTTAAGGAATCTCCACACTGTTTTCCACAGTGGCTGCACCAACTTGCATTCCCACCAGCAGTGTAAGAGGGTTCCCCTTTCTCCACATCCTATCCAACACTTGACAACTGAAATTCTTAAAGGCCACTTAGCCTTTCTTATTACAAAAGCAATACGTTTGCATCTTAGAAAATCAAGAAGCAGATAATAAAAACATTCACACTTCCACATTCCCCCTCGTCTCTATTTATACCTGCCAAGTTTCTTTCTTGCATAAATAAATAAAACACTTATTCATCAATAAAATTCATGAAGGCACAGAAATATTTATTTAGCTTTATATGAATGGAACACTTATATAT